AACGCTAACCACTATACCTCCCTTATCTAGCAATTCCTGGAGCTGAACTTTCAACTCAACCAACTCTGCTGGAGCAAAACGGTAAGGTGCCATAGAAATCGGCGCCGTACCAGGCACTAAATCAATAGAGAACTCTATCTCTCGGTGAGGTGGCAAACTAACAAGATCTTCGGGAAAGACATCCGAATACTCACAAACCACCCTTGGCAATACAACCTGGGTCTCACCACTCTCACCACTCTCAAAGCTGGCAAGTAGACTACTAAGCTCACTTCGCCCTCGCGAATCATACCCCGGTGGCAAAACACTACCAAGTTGTATAGCCATCCGGGAATAATTTGAGCATTATTTTCTGTATTGAAAAGTTTTTGAAATAATTTAGTTTTTTTAGTTTTATTATTTATTATTTGGGTTTACCTTGAGGGTAATTTGAGAAAAATAATAAGTTGTAATGAGAGTTAAATAAAATTTTAAATAAGTAAATAAGGTGTGCTTAAAAATAGAGAATACTTAATGATTTTTTGAGTATAAATAAAATCTCCCAAGTCATAGTGCCAAGGATGATGGAGCAATGAGCTGGCCCAAGTTACTAAACTCTCCCTATCTAGGCCCAACTCGAATTTAATTTGTGTTTGTAAATTTTTACCTAAATTGAACTCTAAAATTTCAAACACTAGTCCAAACTCGAAAGTTTTTCTGAATTTGGTTAAGAGATTTGAGAAGGAATTTAAAAAGAGAAATAGAAAAAATAAGTAAAAAGTAAATAATACTTATATATCACATAGTTTCATACACATTTTTCATTTCCCTTTTCGAATTCTTTCTTAAATCTTTCAACCAAACCCAGTAGGATTGGTCTTAGGTTCAACCCGTTGAAGTTGCACTATTAAAATAGAGAAATGTGAGAGTAGTTTGAATGGAGAGAGAATATATAAAAGAGATTTTTTAAAAGCAAAATAAATATTTAAATGACAAATTGCAATGATTTTATTAAAGAAAATAACAGGATAACAGGTGCGTAAAATATATAAGAGACATGTACGAAATTTCCTATGAAATTGTAATTTTTGATTGATTCCTTTATCATATTAATGGTAATTGCAATGTAACAACTCAAAAATTTAAGTTATTCTTTAAATTTTATATTAGTATTATTTAATTATAAATGAAAAAACTTTAAATGTTTAATTAAATATTTTGTAAGAGTAAAATAAAATAAAGTATAATTTATTTATAGCAGTCATTGTAAAAAATAAAAAAAATAAAAAAAAATTACTTAAATTTATCCAATTGAGGACAAGCTTCAGTTTAGGACATAATAATGGCAAGGTGACGTGGCGTGACTACGTGTCACTCAAAACTTGCTGAGCAAATAATGTACCCTGGTATATAAAGAGGGGTGATGCTATGGATTGAACATGGAGAAATCAACAGAGAATGGGGAAGAAAATACTGGGAGTAAAGAAGGCCTTTAATAGTGGAAAGAAAGAGTGAGGTATTAAAATTAAGGTGAGTTATATTATATCTTTAGTCACCATAATATATTTTATGTATGTTTTGAGTTACCATAATTTATTTTACGTAAATTATGTTTTATATATTATATTAGCATTTTTAATTATGTTATTTATTTTATAAACCTTATTTTATAAACTAAGAAAAATCCTTGGATATAACTGTTTATTAAAATATGTTTTGAGTAATTATTTTATAAGTACCACCACAGAGGTCCCATGTCTTGAGGGACTTAAATAACCATTGGCCCTCTGATTAGTCACTTTGTGACCCTCTATCCATCATGGATCCACTGACATTCTGATTTCTGGTGTGGAGTAAAGTGCTGTACGGAACTAAGTGCTACACTATGGTGGAAGCCACTTCTAGAGTTCGTACAAACCACCTCTTGAGTCCATACATTTGTTCTGTTCCGTTATGTACCGTGGTTATGATTATTTTGTTTATATGATTTCTGTATTATATGTCAAATGATCTCCGTATTATATACTCTGTATTTTAATATCAAGTTTTGTTTAGCCAAAATTATCCATGGTAAATTTTATGCCCTTATGCTCTTAGTATAATATTTTCTCACTCTGCCATGAGCTTATAGCTGTTTACCAATTTTCAGGAAACAACGCAATTCAGAAATAACTTTTGGAAAGTCTTAGACGCGGAACTGCAGAATAGACACATACAACACTTTTATGATATTTTTATATGTAAATATCGACCTTTTTGGTCACTAAATTTTGTAAAAAAAATAGAAACTCGAATGATTATTTTGGTACCATCACTTAAATATTATTTCCGCTCGCATTTATTAATTTGTTCAAGAATTGGCCAGAGGTAATTTCAATTATTGGCCATTACGATACTTAACTCTTAGGTACGGAGAGCGGATCGTGACATGTAACCCCAATAATATTTAGAAAGGTGGAATTTGATGGAATTAATGTTTAAAATTGGATTTGCAATGTTTGATAATATGGGTTCAACGGAATTTTTTTTTTATTTTTATAAAAAAAACTTAAAATCCAATAAAATTGTGAAATTTAAAATAAATAAATATTATAAAACCATAATCTAATACAATTATCCACATTGTCTTCCATTCAAGTTTTTCAAATCATTTAGAGCATCTAATCAATTTTTGACGTAAAAATAGCTATACGCATGTTCCAATCATTTCATCAAACTTGCATTAAATCAACATTCCATTTGGATTGTGAGGGGAGATGAAAAAAGAAATGATTGTGATTTCTCACCTAGGTGAGAAAAAAAAAACAAAGATAAAAAGAAATGATCATGATTCGCCATCATTATATTTGGATAAATAAAAGAAAAGATAATGTGATTTCTCGCATATCTTGTTCAGATAGAATCTAAAATAACCTTCCATATTAACAAGTTATGTTTTTTTATGAGGGTAATTTTGGTATTTTAAAAAAAATTATTAAGCCTAATTCTTTTGTTACCAAATCTCACCAATTTTGGTGAGAAACAAAACTCAAGTTTGGTGAAAGTCATTTTATCACCATCTTTCACTATTTCTCACGCTTTCTCACTCTACTTAATCATCCAAACAAGTGAAGGGCTTTCCATTCTCACCATTTCTTTCTTTTTCTTTTCTCACCAAACCCCTCCATCCAAACAAAGTGCAAGAGAATCAACTTTTTTTACCAAACCAGAAATCAACCAATTCCTTCACTAAATTTTCAACAATTATATTTTATCTACTCAAATTTAATAGAATTTTTAAAAAGTAAGATTTTTCTTTTGATTAAATTAAATATTCATTAAAGTAAGAAGGTCAAACCACACTTACAAGGAGATCAATCCAACACAAAGCTTACAAAAAAACAAAGAAATTCTTAT